CTTCGTCTTCTGTGAAAAGAAGTTCGTCTTTGTCTTCAGGTTCTGCCATCGGAAATATGTCAAATGAAAAGTATTTTGTCCAAACAAGTCAAACGAAAATTTTTTCTAAACCAAACGCTCTGAAATCACGCTCGAACTGAATGCTCCGATCTCCCGCGCTCTATCTCACGTGACTTCTTTGTGAACTGACCAATGATGAAGTAGAATTCTCTCTTCGCGTATGTCCACACGTAATTCTCGCAAAAAACACGCATTAATTGTGTCGGCAGCATTGATGATCACGGCAGCCAATCAAATAACGATTTCGATTCGATTTCCCCAGAGTCATGCCACAACCTAACCCGCGAACAGGCATACTCTGGGAACGAGATTGGGCCTGACACAAAACCTATCTAAAGTGTGGGATTCCCGTCCACCTGGTGGACGGGAAATCTGATTGGTTGATCAGCATCATGAAGGATTTTGATTGGTTGCAAGTTCACATAAACAACAGTTTTAAAAATAGCTCGGTCAAGGCGAGAATTAATATAAAGGTCAAACGCACGTAACAAATCCCATTATCGATTTCTTCGAATTTCTTTTCTTTTATGCTTTATGGAAGAAAATAAATCAAACAAACAGTATTTTGAAAGGGCTTCATCAAAATCTTTGACGAATTTTGGACACACACGACGCTGAAAGAACAGCCAAACTAGTCATGTATTCGAAAGCTTGTTGTTGACAGCCAAGATGTTCTGCCAACTTGCGTCGCCGGCAAAAGTCTTATTTTTAATATCAGGTCCTACCGGCGTTGTTTTCTGAGCTACATCGCCTTCTTCGTGGTATGATTGAGAATTTAATTGTTGCTGTTATTAGCCCGTTAGTCGTTAGAGTATATCCGCGTCCAGCAAGTTGAGACCTTGAGAAAGCTTGGCAGTCAAGCCGTGCACAGAACTGACTAATTAAATCTTTGTTTGCTGTTCGCCTGTTCGGTTAAATAGAGAAACTGACTCTTAATTATATAAAAGTACCTTGAATTTTAAGTTTAATTAAAAAGCAAAATGCTCTGCGGACATGTTCATGAGAATATAATTTTTTTGTGTAACGAAATCTACAACACTTGTCAATCATATTGCATGTGTGTCTAAAAATAACATGTGGGCGTCTCACGGTCTAGACAGGTTTTGTGTCAGGCCCTATTTCAAACAAGACGCTCTCTCGAGCGTTAAGTTGCTGGGGCTTTTTAAATAGGCGCCTGCGTGATTTGCAACGAGCGGTAAGAGTATATTCAACGATTTGTGGGCTTGATTTGTAATTGTACATAAGTTTATTAAATAGTGACACGTTGCGACATAATGTATACAGCAAATTTAATTAACTAAGGGACGGACCATTAGAAAAGTGATGGGGGGGGGGGATTTTCTAAGAGGCAATATTTTTTTTTGTACACCTATAGAAATTTTTTTTCTCACTTGATGGCTGGAAATATATTTTTTTATTAAAATTTATAGGCCTATCTTCCAAGAAAGGAATTTTTTTTGCACTACGCCTGGGAAGATTTTTTCCCCTAATTTTTTCCTGGGAATAAATTTTTTTGGGTTCCCCCCCCCCCCATCGGTTTTCTAATGGTCCGTCCCTAAGGTCGTCCTTTCAATGAAGTGGAATCTCACAATCAGGTCCGTTGCACAAGAGTTCATCATATCGCTGAACTGAAGAATTCCTACAGGTCATAAAAGAGATCCACTGAAGAATTCCTGTTAATACCCATGAAGAGAGACCCTGGAAGAATTTCAATTTTTATATTTGACCCCTGAGAAAATCTCATTCAAAATATCCATTACCGGATTACCCCCAAAGAATTCCACACAGAAAATATTTGCTTATCCCTGAGGAATTCCAAAGCTAAAAATTTATCACCTCATTCCAGCAGAATTGAAAGCTGGAATAGCCCATTTTGTGCTGGCACTGTGGCACAAGTGTTCATACTTGGGCTATAATAACCCCTTATTCATATTTGAGGATAAATACAGATTTGTATATTTTTATTTTAACTTGTTTATAACAAATTTTAAAACACAAAAATTATTTATCAGACAGTTAAGGACTAAGGAGTCGTTTGTGAATTAACCCATTGAGTGACAGCACTCTCTCCCTGATGAGTAAAATCCTTGGCATTAGACACAGTAAAATAATAAAGTAGGTCACATGAGGGTACATTGCCACTTAAAGGGTTATATGATATGGACAATCGCATATATTGACTATTGGTGCGGAATTTAGCTTTTTGCACCTAACTGATGCATGCGATAGACAGTGGTTATATTTCTCCCCAGGGCCGTAGCAATCAGGGGGGGGGGGCTGTTTAAAATTGTAAATTTCGACATACTAAAATGCTGTTTTCTGACCATCAGAATTCTGTCAAATCTTTCCCAAAGTTCAGGAAATGGCATTTCAGACACTCTAAATTTAAAAATTTCCTCGGGCCTTTGGCCATTGCTTTCAGTTCCCCAATCAAAAAGAGCTTCCCACAGCACTGCATTCCCTGAGCTATTGGCATTAAAATTTTACATAACTTTATATTAGCAGTCAGTGGTGTAGAACTGAATCGCTAACAAAGAGGGCCCTCAAAGAGGGGAGGGGGTGACAAGACGTGGGGTAACCAGGCATTGAGGGTGCAACATGGTAAATATAGATACTGTAGTTCCAGCATTCACTTTTGGTTCTAGCAATTCTTCAATTGGTGATTTTTAACTAAAGGGCTTAATTAACATCAAATAATACACTCCAAAATATTGAAGCTATTACATGTTAGAGCCACATAAATATCATCAAATGTTTAGATCATAGTAAGGTACAGATTACTGATAGATTATAAATTTTGCAATCTGCAAAAATATTGCTTGGGATCTTCCCAAGTTGACATGAAATTTTTAACAAGGGGACCCCTGTTTGCAATCTATTAAATAAGCAAATGAGTTGCAAGTAAAAATCATGAATACATGATGCAGTTTACAACACGAACATGGGAATTTTTTTCTGTGTTGGTGTTGTGTACTCAGGTGAATAATGTGTTTGCGATGTTACTCTGAGTGCATATCCACACCGGGCGAGCTTGAAAAATATGCCCGGCCACGGTGGGATTCGAACCTACGACCTTTGGAATACTAGCCCAATGCTCTTCCAACTGAGCTACGCGGTCAGGACGGTTCGAGTAAGTGATATTTCGGAACAGTATCTAGTTCCTTCAATACCAATGTGTTCTTGTAATATGAATTTTTTTTTCTGTGTTGGTGTTGTGTACTCAGGTGAATAATATGTTTGCGATGTTACTCTGAGTGCATATCCACACCGGGCGAGCTTGAAAAATATGCCCGGCCACGGTGGGATTCGAACCTACGACCTTTGGAATACTAGCCCAATGCTCTTCCAACTGAGCTACGCGGTCAGGACGGTTCGACCAAATAATCCCACCGTCGCCGGGCATATTTTTCAAGCTCGCCCGGTGTGGATATGCACTCAGAGTAACATCGCAAACACGAACATGGGAGTTTTTAAGCTAATAGTTCAGTCCTATAACCAGAATAATATTCTTATTCTGAATAAGTGGACCTTATGTAATGTTAACATAATACAGCCAATGGCTGCAAGGTTTAATTATCAATTAAAAATATCTATCTATCTAAGAAATACCAATCCAAGATTGTGTGTCACATACCTCGTGTGTCACTTCAAAACAGCCAACATTTGAGCCTTCTTGAAAATAGAGCTACACTGTAGCATGCAAATATGACAGTTCCAATACATGTAAACAAATACGATTTTTATGCAGACTATTGGAGCAACCAGGACTATAAGCCATATTAAAGCGTATATAGATGTAAAACTTCACAAAACAAAAATATAAACGTTCAGACTGTAATGGTTCGACGAATAAATAACACAGTTCTTGTCAGTTAATTAATCCACCTCGGAATCTACTCCACTCCTCGATAGTGAAACGTCGACATAATTCTGTATATTCTTGATGGATTTCTTTCAAAAAGCCCCCAGAAGAAAAAGCGTGATTGAAAGAACAATTTGACGTTCACTTTATACACTTACGAAGACTTTAAGACCGTTAAAATAGCGAAAATGTATGCACGCATTGCTTCGTATATAGATCAGTGGGAATTTCCATTTTGCGACTATCCATGGAGAAGGAGAAGGAGACCAATTTCACCCGAAACCTATAGTTGCTGGCACAGGTGCCCCAGCAACTAATTATTAGTGAAAATGTTTAATACGATGCAGCATTAATATGATTACAAAATTTTTGTAAAATTATTTAATTAATTATCACACATCTCATTCATTGATCTGGCCGTTCGCTCAACCATTTCTTTATCCCAGGGTTGCTTGAAACTGTGTTATTAAGATCTTTTAGTGCAGGATAGTTATCCAATATTGGCGAAGAACCTTTGTTGAGGGTTTCAAACAATTCCATGCATGAGAAGAATATTATATCTGCATACGTCAGCTGTTAAGAAGTAAAAACATTTTTCACATTTTCAGAGGTTCAGCTTGTTTAGTTAGCAGTGCTTAAAGATTACTGGATACCGGTCTCAGCCATTCAAGATTCTCACTGAATGAATAACCAGTTTATTCACGCTGTCTAGTGTCGCAGTGACCGGGGGGGGGGGGGGGGGG